GGAAGATTACTTCTGAACATTTTGTATTGATTAAGAATCCAAAAGATTTCGCCAAGTTGTCATTAGTATGAAAAATAATTAGAAAGCTTTTGTCACTGGAGTCCACCTGACCTCAACTGAAAGACGTCAGCCAGTTTATTGATTAAATAAGCCAGAAAATTAAGTCTCCTGGCATCAAATCGAGTCGTTTTTGCTGGGATAGTGCCGGCATGATTATAATCCAGTTTCGAATTCTCCAATGCTCTGTTAGCCTCATTTGTGCGCAAAATATTCCTAATTTTGAGAATAAAAGTGTGAGATTTCAAATCGATTTTATTGTTTTTCTTCACAGATTCGATGCGTTTTCTCGGGCTATCAATAAAACAAAACAATAGTTGCTTGGTTTTGAGGCTAACACAGAGCAAACCAGAACTCGAAATTGGAGTAATGGAAGCTACCAACACACTAAGTATCATGACATCCTTCATAGTGTTAGTATTGAGCTTATGATGTTGAACTCTTTTAATTTGAGTAATTTAAGACAATTGATGAAAACCACAGGTGTAAGTTTATTGATTCCACCGTTGCCTCGCAATTCTTCCATTGAATTAAAAAATTAAAAAMWTTTTTGATACYGAGTACTTTTTGTGGTAAGTTGTAAGCAATGTTTCCGTGCTTTGCYAAGTTTGAATTGWAATWAATTTGGGACATAACTTTTAAATAAACAGTTAAACATAAAACATCGTAAGCATGTGTGTTGTGAAGGAAATAAATTTTAGATTGAAAAGTACGAGAAGTAACGTTAGTTCTTGGCAGGAGTAAAAAATAAACATTTAAAGTACAGAGAGCACCAAAGTGGGAACAAGACAGCGCCTAACCACACCGTACTTACCTTTGTGGACAATATCAGGGCTCCTGACAATACATATTTGGACATGATAAACTGTTATGCTCGGCTTAACACATCTTGTTAGTTTTCTACTGGCGATGGCCCTACACTCACTACCCCCACCAATGCCCCCCACCCCCCTCCACGGTCAATGTTGTTGTTGTACACATTGTACTGAATAAAAAAAAGAAAAAAACAAATGAAAATAGCCACACGACATTGTACAGGGGGCCGGGTACACTATATTATTAGAGAGTTTTAGATACGCGTTTACGGCGAACGCCAAACGTCAAAACTGATCACGTGATCGCTGTTTTTATGTATTAACGCTCCGTTCATTCGCGCTTGTGTATAAAATAGATCACCACTTTTTCGTGCATAAGCGCATCACTATTCCTTTCGAAGCGTTTTTACGTTTGTTTGAAATTTTGAGACAAAGCATAAAAGCCCATCTGACGTTTGATGTTTGCAGTAACGTCAATCTAAAACTTTCTATTCTACCGAGTAGGTTTCGTGCTGTGAAATTGTAACTTTGCTATAATACGTTGCAATGTCCCACGTAAAATGTCTAGGATTGTAGTCAATTCATAAAGGTATTTCAACAAGTTTATTTATCACGCTCCTGCTGCTGATAGTGCTGCCGTTGCTGCCCAGAGTGTGACACTCGTAACTGAATGCTGCCACCTCGCTCAAAAAGGAAACAATTTTTTGGTTTCAAAACATCTCCAAGAAACTAACTTTTTTTATATAATAGAGAAGTAGAAAAAACCATGTCAACTGTCCACCAGTAAATTGATTACGTAAGTAGCATAGATACTGTTACTTAGCAACTAATACCACATACATCATTACAACTATTGCTTAGCAACCGTTACCATGTGACGTCAGAACCGATGACGACAAATAACGTAAAATGTTTATGGATCCCCTTGGTAACGTACAATACTGGCGTTGAATGGACACGACTGATCGTTTTTACCGCTCTCTCACGTATAACCAAGAAAAAGCTGATATATYATCSGCTGCCACACGGCAAAATGTTGAGAACAACAAGTATTATCGCTATTTCTCAATGTCTTCTGTGAGGGTTATAAGTTTATGCTAACGGCTTCACACATATCGTCACTATTGCACCATGGTATATAAATGGATTCATGTTAGTCTCCACTAACAGCGGTAAACGGGAATTCTTTTGATTTACAATGTTAACAAATATTAGGTCTTTATCGGGGGGCTGTGGGGAGGGTTGGGGATATTTATAGGACCACCAAGGAATATGGTGATGATATGTGTTCTATTTAGAAGTATTATTATTAATAGAAAGTACATAGCGCGCTGTATTAATTCATGCTTAGGATTCACCTGTTTTGGTGCTTTCAAAATACATTAATAAGTAGTCATCAGCGAGAGAAAATCTCTAAGGTTCTGATAAGGAAGACTCAACTGTTCTGAGTATATTGGGCTACCTGTGTCGAGCGGACACAATACAGTTATGATCATTGCTTTTGTCAATTTAGAAATTTGTCACGGGCTCCCTGTGTTAGTGCAAAGGAAGTAGACGAGGTCTAGTCCCGTCTCCAGTCTACCACTATTCCACCACAGGAAGACCGAAAACCTTTAAATTTTCTTTCGCTTCTCTGGCCTGTCGTTTATAGGTATAATAATTGTCTAAAAGTAATTCAATATTTTACCGAACTTCGAAGACTTGATTACTAAAACAACGTCACAATCTTATCCTCCCAGAATTCTTCGTCTGAGAAACTTATTAGTTAAACATCAAAATGTGTSCAAATTCTGCGAATTGTATAAACGTATAATAATGAAATAGTGCTAACCAACGCTGTAAAATAACCTCAAGGCATCCCATAATGCACTCCTCCAAAATGACAGTTCATTTATTAACATCAGAAAAAAATCACTTCCAGTCCCTTACACTTGCTCGGTCATTTGAAAACGAGCTGAATATTTATAGTGGTGGGCATTGTATATTTTACAAGACAACCACTGACCATAGACCTTTTCACTAATGTCGTCATGTATTTTTCGACGAAGTGCATCATGGTATTGATAAAGATATCAAGATGGCGGATGTGTTG